TGCCAACATTGTATTCAAAGGCAGATTATGGATGGCTCTTCTGCTGGTGCCTATCCAGTGAGGAGGAGGGTGTAATGCCCACCTCTCCAACACAAGGGCTAGCCACAGTTGTATTCCCTAGGTTGTTCTGAGCACAGGTAAGGTCACAAGCCACCCAAAGAGCTTGTGAAATCAGCCATGCACACAGAGGTGATCAACTGTGGAGAAGAGCACATGCTGCATCCTTCAAAAAGCGGCACAGTGGGCCTGCTCCTCCAACTGAAGGGTGCCAGGCATCAACCTGCTTCAGTTGACAAAATGTCTCCCTTGCTCCCATCATGGCTTCACTCTTCTCCTAGGGTATGTCTACACTGCAACACTATTCCAAAATAACTTAGTCCACATCTACACAGCAAGCAGGTGTTTCAAAATAGTGTCAAAATACTGTCAAGCTGGAGGAATTCGTCCTCCAACTCCTATAACCCTCATTGTAGGAAGAGTAAGGGAAGTCGGAGGAAGAGTGCTCTATTTTGAAATAAGTGCTATGTAGACGCTCCCTATTGAGGGCTCTGGAAAAAACACACAGTTGGGTCCTAAGTAGCCATTACTAACAGTTACACTTGACATGAACACCAGGACTGGAGGTCTTCCTCAGACAGAGAAGAAAATAATATATCGTAGTTTCATTCCTTTTTATTTTTTTTTTCTCATGGCCAGGACAATCCTAGCCAGGCAAGGAGGTAAAAGTCTGGGAAAGCAACCTGATTCACCTGTAGACCACTACCCATTCTGGAGCCAGAGAAGCCACCACGAAATACTTCCCAGAACCTAAGGGTATGTCTACACTACAAAGTTAATTCGAACTAACAGACGTTAGTTCAAATTAACTTTGATAGGCGCTACACATACAAACCGCTAGTTCGAACTTAATTCGAACTAGCGGAGCCCTTAATTCGAACTAGGTAAACCTCATTCTACGAGGACTAACACCTAGTTCGAATTAAGTAGGCTGTGTAGCCACTTAATTCGAACTAGTGGGAGGCTAGCCCTCCTCAGCTTTCCCCGGTGGCCACTTTGGGCACCACCAGGGAAACTCTTCTGTCCCCCTCCCGGCCCCAGAGCCCTTAAAGGGGCACGGTCTGGCTACGGTGCCCATGCCAGGTGCAATCCTGCCAGCACCCAGCCAGCAGACCCTGCACCTAGCACGGCTCGAGACAGCCAACCGATGCACCCCACATCT